AGCACATTACTCACGATTCAAAATGTCATTCATTTTTCCAACAGGAGCACCCATGAAACGAGGTGAGCTGTGACATACATGTTACACCTGCAGAGCTGTGGGCAGGGAGAGGTTAAAACCCGAGCTTCCCTTTCTCGAGCCAACACCCAATATCTATTTGTGCTGAGTGTAGACTTACACAGACGGGGTAGGGAGAGTGGGAGGAAGGGAGGAAGAATAGACGAAGAACTGAGGCCAGAAGCTCACAATAAACAAGAAATTCGAAACCAAGGTAGATCTTTGACGAGTACAACAACCTCAAATGTCCCTCACAACAAAAAAAAGAGACAGGAGGCTTAAACTAGACAAATAATACACAATACGACAGACCTCGAGTAGGAAGGAATCAGTAAACTACCACAAACCAGCTATTTTACACCACATGCATCCATTAAGGTGCTCGGTAACTGTGTTGTGGACTGTATTAAACAAAAAACCACAACAAAAAAGACAGAGGCACATCTATTCATATGATACCAACAGTTATCAGTGTAATTTGACCTGGGCAGGGCCGGGTGAAAGAGATAGAGACCATGCCAAAGAAATCTTTCTTTCATGTTACCATTGATTTTGGCCTTTGGATTCCTGAACAAAGGATAGATGAAGGCAGTCTGCTGAATGTGAGACATATTTCTTCGGCTGAGCAAAAGTCCAGAGAGAAGAAAAAGGCAGATGCTGATTCGAAAGGCTCACAAATTCAAGAAATGTAAACAGTCTGAAAATGCAGAAGAAACCCAACTCAACACAGTTTCCATACAGGCTAATGGTCAGCATAATTATAAGCTCTATCGTGTTGTTATTACACGCCTGGGGAAACCTCACATAAACTTGGGGTTGACTTGACGATTATTTGGGTGAATGACATGGGTGGCAGAAGGGAAAGCGGAGGCAAAAAGGGTGGGATAATCCATCGAGATCTGAGCAACCATCCGACCAACCCAACCCAGACATTAATCCCAGACTTGTGACAACCAAATGGTAAGGCTTATCATGTTCAGCAGTCTGTGGGTATTCCCACTGATGGAAAATACTCCTAAGCTCTTTGTAAAGGCCGGGATGGAGTGGGAGTGTCTTGAACTCCTTCCTCTTTTGTACCTCGCTGGTAGAACCGAGACAAAACATGTGATACACAAGGTGCCAAACACCAGACCGTTGCAAAATAGATGGCTGTCGTGCTCATGTGGCATTTACACAGTGAACCAACCACCCACCACACTGGTATATTCCACATGTGCATATTATCCTTGTGTCCGCATCTGAAAACAACTTCTTCTGGACGTGTCAGCTCAGAGTTTTTATGTTTGTTGTTTTTTTTGGTTTGATAAAGTTGCTCTAATCATTATCTTTATGATGAAAACATTTGGCAGATTATTAAGCCCGGTGATTTATTTATTTTGGCATCTGTATTTATGTTTTTCACAAACCCCCTTTGAGTCTCAGCTAATTATTAAAAGATTCACACGTCTGTCAAAAGTCTGTTTGTACATTGTTGTTTTCATCATGCAAATCTGAACACTGTGACATTAATATTTCCTCCCTAATCGTGTCCCATACCTTGAAGATGAATGTCAAAAGACACGCATCAGTGTGGAAAGCTGTTACTACAATGTTTGTTTATATGGTGCATTTTCTGACACTATTGGGGGGACGAATTCTGCCTGAAGTTAAACGCGGAACATCCGTTTCCGAGCGCAGCAGAAAGTCAAACGAGAAGCAGTCTTTTTAGGATTCCTGGCAGACAAAATATGTGGAATAAGCGGGGCGCACACATGCGTATCAGATTTCCATAAACAAATATTCAGCTTCCTGGCGCACTGTAAAGTCCTGCGAAGTTTTGGTGAGTAGGTTGGAGCATGCAGCCTTGCGAGGAGGATGACACTGAGATTTCCTCTTATGTTCTGCCATGGTGCAATTGCACCAACATTTAAGGCCGGGACGTTATCCCAGCCCGGATCTCCATAAACAAAGTGAGTGACAGGCTGCTCATTTAGCGCCAGACCCGAGTGTGGCAGTCCAGCTGCTGGATCAGCAACAGAGATTTAAATCAGGAGCCATCCAGAAAACCTTTTGTCTGATTAAAAAAAAAGTTTAACGTGCAAATAAACAAACATCGCTGAGTTTCCATTACTACAAGAGACCCTAAGCTGCTGTTATCGGTGCAAAACACACACACAAAAAAATGCGAATTATGAGAAGAAACAGATGTAGCCACAAATATATTACCAGCGACGCCTGCCGACTTTTGCGCATTGTCCGTGTGCTAAATAAAAGGAACAGGTTGTTAACTTACCAGCTGTAACGCACAGCACATCCACCACCACGAACAGCTTCTTCTTCTTCTGATCCTTCATCTTCTTTCCGCTAATTTACTTTATAACCAGAAACTTTGAGAGATATTTGTTTTCTTGAATAAAGTAAACAAGTCCATCTGAGTTCGTTCACTCAGAAACGTACAAGTAACTCTAAAAACAAAGGGTAACCTGTACAACGAGTTCTTCCGGGATCCTGGTTCGTACCTGTGCTGCGATGACAGTGACTGCGGAGGTGTGCAAGTTTCTTATAGCGCCACTTTATCCAAACTCCTCTCGGAGCAGCACACCTCTGACGCTCTGCGTCCTTTTGCGCACATAACTGATTTGGGTATCAAATAAAGACCAGAGAGAGACCATCCGATTGAACAGTGACGGAGGCGTCCGCAGAATCCAGAATAAACTCTTTACTCCGGTCAAACCACGCCACTGCTCCTGATCCCTCCTCCTCGCTTCCTCGTCTGGCTCTTCTCTTCATCCGATCGCCACCAGGCACCGAGCTTTTGCGCACATGTGCGCAGAAAACAGGGAGGAAGACGTTTTTTTCTCTTTGTGCATTTGCCAGTGTTACGCCTTTCATGTATGTTCAGTAGAGACGACTCAAATGCTGCTTTAATTGGAGCTGAAAAAGTATACTCAGATTTAAAATATGAAGGAAGAAGGAAGATGCCATTTCCCGAAACGGATAAATGTATTAACAGAAGGAATTGACTGATGGGGTTAATTATTAACGTTTACTTAAATGAACTAAAGCAGCCTCACGTGAATATCCAGCTCCCATTTCTTAAATCACACCCACACAACAAACTTGGTGCCCTTTTCTCTCTCGAGATCTTTCTTCCCCCAAACCCCTCTCACACATATAAAAGAGAGATATTAAAATATGGCTAAGAAGTAAACATATTAGCCAACCCTTTTATACCAGTTAGGACTGAGAACACTTGGTAGAAGACAGAATTTTCATCCCAACAAAACCAGGGAGATTTTTACAAGGCATCCTGCGGCTTAAGCAAAATTAGCATGACTTTACATCAGGCCACAGTGCTTTATGCCCCAGGCAGTCAGGATGTTTCCCCACCGCCAGTCATCACAAGGTTTGCTGTCTGCATGCAGTCATGTGCGTAGAGCTTTAAGTCATGAGTGTGCATTAACAGTTCACTCTGTTTGCATGACAAACACCACGTTTACCCCCCGAAGTATATTAGTTCAGCATCCTTGAGTTAAGCAGATAATCTTGCATGCACGCACTGAAGCTTTACTTGAATTTTACACGTTTGTAAGCAGTAAAATCAACTCAGTAGATAAATTAAAATGTTAAAGCGTGCAAAGTAAACATCAGCAACACGCAGAACAACAGAGAGCTGAATACTTGGAGTCATTTTAAAGCTATGGCTTCTCTGCCCCCTTCTGGTTGTTCCTAACCATAGACGGCTACTTTTAGGTGCCAGAAGAAGCCAGAAATATGATCCCCCCCCAGTTTAGAGTGCTGAAGCTAGAAACAGGGATTCACAGAGTCATTCATATACTGAGCAGGCAAGAGCTTCACAAGTGTAGTGAATGAATGGTTGTGGTACTTGTTCATGCTCAACAATCCAGATAAGGAAATCCCATGTGGACAGAAATGCTGCATCCAGATGAACAGAATCAAATTTGAGTGAGTTATGCTGATCCACTGCAGAGGATGTGGTGGCAAAGATGACGTCTGTAGCAATTTATAATAAATAAAAATACAGTTCTTAATTAAGCGCTGATGGTTTAATTAAATACCCATCTTCACACCTCTATACAACTCTACTACATGTCATTAAATTGTGTCTTCTCCTTCCAGCAATGTGAGTTTTGCTCTTCTCTCACTATGCCCTAAGTTTGCTCCATGAGTCTGGTTCTGCTGGAGCTTTCTTACCGTTTAACGGAGGTTTTTCTTTCCCACTGTCACCAAGTCCACACTTCCAGGAGATTATCTGATTGTTGAGGTTTTCTTTCTAATATTGTTGGGTCTCATTTTTACAATATAAAGTATAAAATATATATAATATATTCTTACAATACAAACTAGAAACTTGAAGTGAAAACTCAAGAAATGCAAACACATCAATATAGAGAAGGAGAACACTGCACAAGGAGCAGATTGTCGTATAAAACACCAAGAATACTGCAGAAATATTATTCCTCTTAAACGGACACATTCATGAACACTGCAGGGAAATTGTTAACATGCTAAAATCAGTGGAGCTATTATTCATGCTTGTTGGGAAACTTGCTTTGCATTTTGGAGATTGTACAGTTACAGTTATGGACACCAAGCATTTTTTACAGCGATCAGTCTCTTATTATTTTTATGTAGCTGTAGTAAACATAATACAGACAGGCATATTTCACTGACCAGCTTTAAGAAAGCAAAAAGTGATTTGCAGCCAACAGGAGTCTGCAGGGTGTGCCAACACAGACCTCCACCAGGAACAGAGAGGTGAAGCAGCCAGCTACAGCACCATTAATGTGAGCCTGCAAGCCATCAGCTGGCAGCTTGACACCCTGCAACTCCAAATTCATGAGCTCAAACTGTTCCAGAGTCGCAGCTTTTCTGATGAAATTTCTAAAGCTAATGAGGAGCTGAACTATAAAATTCACACTCTGTAGCAACAAATTTA